AGTTTTAATTCATTTATATTTATCAAAAATTTTTATCTTAAATGAAACTTAGATGGAATGTTTTAAAAAAAACCTTTTAAAAAAAGGAATTCTTTTGTTTTTTGTAAAGTGAACGAGTCTTCAATAATTATTCTTATGATTTACTAGTTAGAAAAATATTGATTAATAATTATATATTTATAAATTATTTTATATAATATTATTGTTAAATAATTTTCACCAAATTTTTCTCACTTGAGCAAAAGAAATTGATTTCTTTTGTTTTTGTTTTTGTTTTTTTTTTGTTTTTTTTGTTTTATTTTTTATTTAAATGAAATTTACAGAAAAAATTTCAATTACGATACAATTGAAATAGTACAAAATGTAAATTTTTATTCATAAAGTTTTTAGTGTAAGAGCTATCTTATTTTTTAATTAGAGAATAAAGTATTTTTAAAGGCTTTTTAATATTATTAAATCGTTGTTATTTAATTCTTTTCAATATTCCATAAATTCATATATAGCGAGAATAGGCATATGCGTAAATACATACGTACACACGTACACTTGTAACATCCCGTAGACGCGCGTACAGAAAATCGAAGTAAGCGCAGACTCAAATATATATAAATAAATACAAAGTTAACGTATATTAATATATATATATATATAAATATGCTTAGATAGATTTCTATAGATAAGTGGAGGGTCGAAAACATTTTTAACGTTTCATTTTTTTTTTCTTTATTTTTTTTTAAAGTGGATTTAAACTTTCTGCGTGGTTAAATAGCAAAATTAGTAAAAAATTTTGTAGGACAAAACTTGCCTTGTGATTTTCACTCTGACACGCAAAGTTTAAAGTTAGACATGAATGTATCTCATCATTGTCTGGAATATTTGAAACTCACGTTGGATGCATTGTAGAAAAATGCTGAAAATCGCAAAAGTTGTGTAAATCTTTTAAAAGTCTAAAATTCACAAAGTCATCTGTATGATAAAAACGTTAAGAGCAGAAATTTAAAAAAATGAAATATGCTTTCAGATATTTTTTTGTATTTTTTTCTTGTCTTTGTAGTTTGAATCTTTCAAGGATGTTTTGTCTTAATATTATTAAATTTAGATTATCTTCTCCATTTGAATATCGGTAATAATAACAAAACATAGGAATTTATAAATCTCATGATTTATTGAGGAGAAGAAGCGTTTATTAGGTGTAATGAAATAATTCTATTCATATGTATATATGAAATATTTAAACAGTAAATTAGATAAGAATTTAAACGGTGAAAACATTATTATAAGAAAAAAAGTATTTTTATTTCATGGTAAACTGATGTTTGAATATTATTATCATTAATTATTCATTAAAATTCTTATAAATACAATTATTAATATGTCCTTTAAGTATAATGTTGCCTAAATGGAAAAATATATGATTTTTTTTTTTTTTTTTTTTTTTTAATATAAAATTAAAACGTTGTATTAAAATATATAATGTTTTTTTATATAATGTTAAAACGTTAAAAATAATATGTTAAAACTTCAAATTGCAATTTGATCAAAACAGCACTAAGCTGTTAAAATTTTAAATATTTTTTAATTTAAAAAAAAATGAGGATGCATTCAGTTATTGTTTCGTTGAAAAATACAAAATTGTTTGTAATAAATATTAAAATTATGTGTAATTTTTCAAGTTTGAAAAATGCTGCTGCATATAAATATATTATACAATTCAAATAATATAATAATAATGAAATAATTCAATTTTCTTACATTAAATATTCTTGTTCGTTAATATTACTTTCTATCGAGACGTAGATTTTTTAAAAATTAGTAATATGGTAATTCAATATATATATATATATATATATATATGTATTAATTTATATATTTTGATATTTTGATATTTTGATACGTGACTATCAGGCAGATAAATAAAAATTGTTACATAATTCTAAAGATTTTATTAAACACTTTATAAAGGCCGTTTGTATAATGCATTCATTCCGTATATAATAATGCAAATTCAGATCATTTGTTTGCAACTGTAAAAAAATACATTGATATTATCTACTTAAGGTAATGTATGTATGCATTACCTGCTCAACGTAAATAGTAGAACTTAACGTTCCGAAACATTATTCGAAGAGGGGCTTTTACACAGGATGTGAAACAAAATACGACATTATGAATACATTTCATGTGAAAATAAGTACTTTAGCTTTTAAAAATGCAACAAATGATCCGCCATGAATTAGCGAATTATTATATGTCGGAGTCCTGTCTCAACAGATATAAATACATTCCACTCCTGCAAATGTAAGAACATAAGCGTATTACAGTTGCTCGTAGATAAACTCGACGGCGAATATCTCAGGCTGCAAAATTTAAAAGACGCGCAGCTCCAGCAACAAATTTCTATTATTAAGCCTCATGCACAAACGAAAGGCGCATGTGCAGAAAGTGCTTTTAAAGTGCTACCAGAATATTATATATCCGGAACCAAGCAAGGAATACGCCATTTATCATTTCGTACGGGTGCTTGCGTCAGGAGACGCGGCGCACGCCGCTTAAATATATCCGGCCATCCGTCTAAGATCGGTCGGTCTCGAAGAATTCGCTACTAGATGGTTATGGCACGCGTAGAGGACTATATCGTCGCGTGGAATAGTCAAGCTAAAAATCTCGAGCACAGCTTTAAATACGAAGTGAAGGATTGCTCGAGTAGATGTGCGGAGGAAGGTCGGTCGTCCTTATGAAAACTTTTTATATCCAACGTCGTACAGGCGATGCGCGTGTATTTGCCTTTTAAAATTTCAATCTCTAACTTCTTCACAAGCCCCGCAGCCGCAGTATATCCTTCGTATCGCGCGTAACAGCTATGATTAATGTCCTGGGAAAAGCAGTTGCACCAACTTTTATGGAGCTTGACTTTTAACCTGACATATTTTATCCAGAGTAAATATTGCAAATATTTCTAGGCGTAAATGTTTATCGACTCATTTATAAATATTGTTATATTGGCTATTATTGTCGTGATTATCGTACGCACAGATTCGTGAAAAGCCGTGAGAAATGGGAAAAAACTTAAAATGCATTCAATGTACATTTCACCATTTATTGAATAACCGATCGTTAAAATAATCAACTCAATTATTAATAATCAAATAAAATAAAGTAGCCTCGTGTCATGAAATAAACAAATGTATGTTTTACTTAAAATTTATGATTGAACGAATCAATTAACTATCTATAGTGAATTAATAATTATAGGTTGAAAGATCATTGATTACTTGCTTTTTTAATTATAAAAATATAATAGACTTTGTTAATTATCGATTAAAATTAAAATCTCTGCATGTTTACATGTTTCATTGTAGAATAAACATTACTCGTTGGATATAAAAAAATTTTAAAATTCATATTTAAAATGGATACCTCAATGATTATTTGTAATTGCAGGCGTAAGGGAAGATTGAATAAAAGTTTGAAAAAATTGTTTCACTTAAATTTCAAATAACTGAATAAATATTTCTTGTTAAAGTTTGAGAACCTGTTGAATATCTTAATAGTATCGATTTTAAATTAATGTAAATAAATATTTGAATAAGGCTTAGGAATATTACTTTTGTAAAAGATAAAGTTGTGTAAATTACAAGTATAATGTATTTTTAAAAAAAAAATCTTTTATAAACGGGAAATATATTTTACGAAAGAGACCTTTGAAGATTATATATATTATACGGAAAAATGTACCCTCGTTAAAATTATTGATGTGTATATATATATATATATATATATATATATATATATATATATATTTTCACTATATTATCTTTTTTTTCTTTTTTA